GGGGGGGTGCTGGGGAGGGCTCTGCCACCCCAGGGGTGATGGGGGTGCAGGGTATGGTTGGGTGATGCGCCAGGGCTGTGCATGAAGGGGTGTGACGGCGTGAGCGTGGAAACGCTGTGGCTGTGCGTGGCGACTGCCTGTCTGTGCGGATCGCCATGCCCGTCGGTGCGCTGCGGGTGAGTGTCTGCACGAGAGCTGCGGGCAGAGAGCCCCTGGGGCTGCTGCTGTGCATGGGGAGGGGGGGGGTATACACTGCTCGCGGGGTGTGGGGTGCAGGATGTGGGGTGCAGGATGTGGGCCCGTGATGGGGGATGCAGGATGCGAGGCCTCCCTCCCCAGGGAAGGCATCGCAGGATGCTTGCAGGACCCCAGTGCCACCAGTGCATGGCCCCCAGGGACACCCCGACTGGGGTTTGGCAGGGATCCAACCCCCACGGCTCTCGGGCATCCAAGGCTGAACCCTCCCCCCCGGCCTCTCGCTGTCCCCAAGGGCTGCTGCTGCAACCAGATGGCCCCCTCGGGCCCCCTCCATCAGGCCTGGCAGGGCTCAGCAGGAGCAGGCATCCCTCTAACAGGATTTGCAGCGTGGAGGAGAGCCCCTCCACCCTTCTCGGAGGAGAGACAGGCTGTCGCTGGGACTGCCGAGGGAGAAAATGGCCACGGGCTGGCTGCCTGCCCCCCATCTCCTGCCCTCAAACGTGGCCTGTCCTCTCCAGCAGCCCCAGGAGAAGGGCAGGGAGCTGGGAAGGGGGAGAGGAAGCTGGAGGGAGGGATAATAGCAGGGACAGATCAGGAGCAAGCGATGGAGGTAAAAATAGATCCACCAAGCATAGGAGGGGCTAAACGTGAGAGAAAACCCTGAGCAGAAGCAGGCCGGCGGGGGAGCCCCCCCCTGGGAGGGGCCCTACATCCCAGCAGGGTGCAGGGGGACCTGCCCTCACAGCCCCCAGGGCAGAGGGGGGACCTGGGACCCCAACCTTGGGGCCGCTGAGGAGATGCCTGGGGGGAAATACCTGCCCGCTCCCACTTCCGCCGGCCCAAACACGCGGCGGATGGACAGGACCTGCAGGGCTGAATTGCCAAATTGCCGGGATGCAGGCAGGCACGCATCCCGAGGGAGCGCTGGCAGCCGGGACAGCCTTGAAGAGCCTTGGATCCAACCCCCTCTTGCTTTTCATTTCCAGCGAGCACGAAGCTGAGCTGGGGACAGAGGTGCCAGGGACAGTGGGGAAAAGGTGCGTGGCAGCCCCGGCACCAGCCAAGGTGAGCTGCCCTCCGGCACGGGATGCTCCCTGAGCCCCTGCCCCGCGGGACCTGCCGGTGACGGCGAGTGGGAGAGCCGGGAAGTCAGAGCAAAGGAATTTGCAAACACATTCTTCAGCACCACGAGGATCCCATGGCGCGTAAACAGGAATAAAAGCTGGGTGGCGGCAGGGACTGGGGCGAGGTGGGGGTTCCCCCTGGTTCCTGCGGGACGCCCTGGAATCACCTGCCCCGGGCAGAGCCCGGAGCCACAGTACCGTTCTGGACTGCAGCTGATCCAGCGTGAGAAGTGCCAGCGGAGGCAAAGGGGGGGCTGCCAAGTGAGGGCCAATGTCACATTGACATCCCAGCGAGGCTCTGCAGGGAGCTGATGCTTTGATGGCCGGCCCAAGAGCATCCTTGAAGGCGGGCAGGGTGCTGTTGTGAGCCCTGCCTTCCCCTGCCCACCCTGGCCTCACGCCCAGCACCCTCGGGGCTCGTCAAAGAAGAGGGGCACGGGGCCCACTGGCACTGCCTTCTCTCCCCATGATGCTCTTCCACACCAGCAGCTGCTCCCCGTGCTCCTGCTCCGCGGCCAGACCAAGATTGAAAGCTCAGCAGGCTGCTGGCATGTTTTAGCCTCATGCAGGCGTCCCTCAGAGACCCCAGAGCAGTGGACAGTAATGTGAAAACGATACTCATGTCGTGTCTGAAAGGGCAACAAGTCATCATTAAAATGGAGGCAATGAAAATCATCCACCCGGAGAAGTTTTCGGAGCTGCAGGCCTCACAGCCACGCTACGCGCCAGCCCCGCGCCGTGAGCCACCCCTCGTGGCCAAGCGTGCATGGCCCTCCGAGTCCGAGATCATCGTCAACCAGGCGTGTGGGGACATCCCCGCCCTGGATGCCACCCCCGGCCCCCTGCCGCTGCCCCGGACTCCCCCTCTGCCCCGGCGAGAGCGCGGGTACCAGAGCCAGAGGAAGGGCAGCTCGGAGGTCTGCTACCACCGGCAGCCACCGTCGGACGAGGGGATCGTCAAACAGTACGCGCTGCACC